CCAGTGGCTGCTCATGGACACATCTCCCCCCGGGGATTCGGAGACTTCAGGATGGTGAGTCAGTGATGTGGTGTGGAGATGTGCACGTGTGTGTCCCTGGGGATGGGACAGGGATCCCATCCCAGTGAGAGGCAGGGCATGGCAGCTAACTGAGGGCACCTTGGAGCCAGACACTGGAAATGGAATCCACACTGCTTACTGTGTGACCGTGGGTAAAACAGTTAACCCCTCTGAGTCTCAGATTCCTCATCTAAATGCTATCTACCACATGGTGTTGTCCTGAGGATTAAGAGAAGAAATAAAACATTCCAGGGCCTACAGGTGGCATGGTGGTTAAGGTGCTGGACTCTCACATGACCAACTGTGGTTAGAGTCCTGGACCTGGTGGCTTGCTTTCTCACCTTCTCTCTCTCTCTTTCTGTCTCTCTCACGCTGTCCCTCTTCTCTCTTTCTCTCTCTGTCTCTCTCACTCTGTCCCTCTCTGGCCAAATTAAAATAAATGAATAAAAGTAAATAAAATTGAATTAATAAAAAAAAAGAAGTAAAGCATTTCAAACTGCCCAGCACCCAGTGGCATTGGCAAGTCTTGAGTCCTGCCTGTCCCCGGGCCCTGCCTCCTAGCAGGCTCTTGGTGAACATTTGCCAGTGGAAGGCAGTCCTGGCGCTGAGCACCTGCATGTATCAAACCTCTGGGCACTGTCTAGGGAGCCTGGCACTGTGACGGTCCCCTTCCATATTACGTAGGAAAGAAGAGAGCAGTCGTCACCAGCAACCCCAACGTCTGTGGCAGGGCCCCAGCTCTCAGAAGCCACCATGACAGGGCATGCCGGCGACAGAACAAAGACCATTGAATCACGCAGAGAGTGGGGAAAATCACTTTAAATCTGTTTTTGCAGATCGCGTTCATTTAAATGCCCTGGGCAGATGCCCACGTGTGCAGGGACACTCGGTCAGGCTAGAGGCGCTTTGTCTCTTTGAAAGGCCGCATTGTGACCCCACACCAGCCCCGATTGATTCCCAGAACAACAAGCCCTTGTACGGGCCCTGAAGCCCGGCTCGCTCCAGCCCACGGCTGGCAGCGCGAGCCCTTTGCTGTCCCTTTAAGGGCAGTGTGAGGAGGTCTTAAATCCTCCATTCAGACAGCATTGTAAAAACAGTCCTGCAACCTGCTGGGGCTCGGACTAAGATGCTTCTCAGAAGTCGGCTCTAGATGTTGACGAAGCCCAGTTCCAATACGCTGTGTCTTGCTCAGGCCTATCGTGTACAGAACAGGGTCAAGAAGGTGCTCTCAGGAATGCTGGGCTGTGGGGCATGACCCACCCCCTCATGCCACTTTCCTGTGTGCAGGAGAGGCCACTAGGAGGATATCCCCAGGAGGTTTTTTCAGAATCCCCACAAAACAGGGAGGCTTTGAAGCAGTGGAGTCTCAGGTGAAAGCCTGGCTCCATGGCCGCCTCCCGGGGCTGGCTGTTCCTTGGTACACGCTCCCCACACCCAGGTGAGATCACCCTCAGCCTGGAGCTGCCCGGAGGCTGCAGAAGGCTGGGCACACCGCAGCACTGTTCGGTCAAAGTCATGCTGAGGCTCCCACCTGCTGTCCCAAATGCTGTTTTCTCCTCCTCAAGGCCCCTGCCAGCTGGCGTCTGTCCACCATCAGGTCTCACCTAGTTGTCATTTCCCAGGAAACCAGAGGACGGGTCTGCATGAGGACCAGACATCTGGAGCAGCCCTAGGGCCCCCTCTGTACGCATGTAGCCTGTTTCTCTGAGAACTGGCCCTCGGCCCTCCTGGCACCTGGCCGGGCACTGAGTGCTCGCATGGGTCCGTCCACACAGTCCCAGGGCTGATGGGGGATGGGGAGATGGAGGCTCCTGGCAGTGATCCACGGGGTCCAGTTGGCCAATGACTCCTTTGAATGAGGTGGGAGGAGGGCTGTCCCTTTCTCTGCTGGCCTATGCCTGGGGGACAAGAGTGGGTGAGGCCGTGTTTGATGTGCCCTCGCAAGTTTTGGCTCTTGGTCATGCCGTAGACATCGGCTTCTTCTTAATCCTTTTTCGAGAAGGATTTAGCTCTTTGTTCCATGAGCTTGAAAACGCCCAGTTTCTTGCCTTTGCTAAGTATCAACTGAGCTGAACGGGCTGCAAAGGGACACCCAGCAACCACCTGAGCTGGCACTCAGCCCATTCCTCACCAGCCGTGTGTCTCCATCTTCTCACCTGCAGACCCAGGCAGTGCTGTCTCCTGCAGCTGCTCCAAAAACGGCAGGCAATAGGATTACGCGGGTGTGAATTTGGGTCTTTGGGCAGCTGTGTTTGAGAGTTGATGCTGCCTGACCTTTGACCCAAGTTAGGGCCACCGAGTAGGCAGTATCTGAGGAATGTCTGCCTGCCCCTGGGGTGGCAGGATATGCCCCAGAGAAGGTCCGTCCCTGCCAGAGACCCAGAGGCAGAGCAGCGAGGCGTGCCCACAATAGGAAAGCTCTATCCCACATGCCTGGTAGACCAGCAGTCCCAGCACGCGGAAGGTACCCAGCCAATGCCAGTTCTCTGTAGTTGGATACCTTCCAGCTACTGCCCAGCTGGCTTCTGAAATTTCCCTGTCCTCAACCACTTCTCCCAGGCATGGTGCGTGCTCTTGGTAGGCAGGGCTGCCCACCAGCAAGCAAAGGCAAGTACCTGCCAACAAAACAGCTGGTGCAGAACTGAACACACGATGCCCCATCAAGGAAACTGGACGGGGGCAGGTTGCAGGGAACGGACGAAGAAAGAGTAAGACGGGGGGGCATTTTGGGGGGACTGGGAGTGAAACCTTGCCCATCCCAATCATACCCAATTCAAATGGGATGCAAGTCAAATGTAAAATGAAATGGCGAATTTAAAAAATATTAGTATAGGAACCAGCAGATGGTGTAATGGCTATGTTGCTGGACTCCCATGTAGTCAATTGCTGTTTGAGTCCCAGACTCAGTGGCTTAAACAAACTCACGCCGGGCGTGTGTGCGTGCGTGCCTAAGATCCTGAGAAGAGAATGCAGGAGAAGGGATTGCGGCGTGACCATCCCCCGTGGGGCGTGATTTCTTGCTTTCTGTCTCTTTGTCTCTCTCTGTCTTATTGGTGAGCACTTGTGCCCTATAGCAAAAACCTCTCTAAATAAATAAATAAATAAATAATATTAGTATAGAAGGAAGGGAAGTTATGTCAGACAGTCATTTACAAAACTTTCTCCAGTAAGTCTTATGGTTGGACCAAGTTTCAACTGGAAAAGAGAAATTAGAGCAAGAGCCTATGACAGTTTCTTTACAGGGAATGATTACAACTTCAAAACATCGAGAAACTTTTGGGAAATTCAACTATGCCTTTATTTAGTTTTTTTTTGGATGGGCAGGTCAAAAATAAGCTTCATTAGTATCACGTTGGTGGCTTGCTATAAAAATGGGTCGCTTTAGTTAAAAAAAAAGAGACTTCCCTCAATTGACATTTGTATGCACATTTTGTAAACATGTAACAAACTTCCTATCATTTTAAAAATGTTTAGTTTATTTCTTTTGTGAGAGAGCGGCAAGAGAAAGCACATGGCCCTGCTCGAGAGAGTACAGCGAGAGAGACAGACACCCACCACGGTCTCATCACGCCACCCCCTCCCTCAGCCCACCCCTGCAGCCTCCCAGCCTCCCAGGGCCAAGGGCGTGTCTTAGACCTGGGATCCTCATCCCAATCAGCCACACGGCTCCAGCGTCATGGAGTGGCATGCCACTCCCCGTGCCATCAAGGCTGGGCCTCATTTCTTAAATCAGAGTTTAATTGTTCAAACTAGAGCCTCAACCAAACCTCTGTTCATAATTGACTATGGCGTGGCTTTCTTCAGTGGGCTTAGAGTGACTGGTTCTGGCGTCAATTACCCTGGACTAGCGAAAGGTTTCCTGAGCGTGCCTCTCAGATCCATCTTGGTCATGGATCTCCAAGTGAGAAGGGGAGCCAGCCAGTTAAACCCTCCTGCTTCAGCTGAGTCTGTGCCCTCCCCAGCTGCTAGCAGGAGGCAGTGCAGCTTTGACCCATCCAAGTCCGTGGGCGGGAGCTGTCCTGGTGCCCCATCTCTGGAAGGTCATCATTTCTTTGAGTCGTGGGAGAAAGGAGCATTTCAGAGTGGGGGAACCAGGTTTGCAGATACCCAGCTCAGCCCCTTCCTTCTAATCATCCAGGCTCCTTTCTACCTGGACACCTCAGACCGAAACACAGCCCTCGCCACGTATCACTGTACTTCCCTTCGCTGTGCAGCCACTCCCCCTTCTCTCCTGTGGAGGGGTCCAAGGACAGTCTCATAAAGACAAGTTATTATCTGGACCAGCAGTTGGCGTAATGGCTGTGTCGCTGGACTCCTATGTTGTCGACCGCGGTCTGAGTCCCGGACCCGGTGGCTTAAACTCACTCTGGGTGCATGTGTGTGCATGCATTCTCCCGAGAAGAGAATGGAGAAGGGATCACGGAGTGGCCATCCCCCCGGGGTGTGATTTCTCGCTTTCTGTCTCTCTCTTTCTGGTGAGCACACGTGCCCTATAGCAAAAATCTCTTTAAAAAAAAAAAAAAAAGACAAGTTATGATCCACATCCCTCCCTGGAGCAGACCACAGAGCGCACTGCCCAGACTGATTTCCGATGGCTTTGCACAGAAGGAGAGGAGGCTTCTGCATCTCTTTTTCTTTTGGCTTAAAGAAGTTCTGAACACAGATTATTGTATTTTACAGGGAAAAAGAGGGGGCCCTTAGGCTGGCACTTAGTAAGTTTCCAGAGAGAGAGAAGCCGTCCTGGTGGGCAGACAAAGCTGGGAGGGTGGGGCCCCACGCTGCACCCTGGGGGCATGGTACTGAGCGCAGGCGGGGCCGCTGAGCGCAGCTCCTTGCCATGCCTTGAGATTCAGGTTAAGGAAAGGACCCCTCAGAAATAAAGCTAAAATGATGGCAT